CACATGAATTGTAAACTACAGGTAAGAACTGCTTGGTCTCAGAAAAAGTTGGAGCGTTATGAAACCTAAACCATTTCTGCTCCAGTTCACTGAGCAAGGAAATCATTCTTCAAGCCCTTCACAACAGCTATGCTGATGTGCATACCCAGCCTGTGCGTGTACACACACACACACAACATATACTTTTGGGCATACTGAGCACACCCAAGTGTTGGACAACTTAACAACATGTTTACTGAGTATATCACTTTTCAGTTCAGAGACTGCCAGTCATCAAAAGATTAAAAAAAAAAAGGAGTAAGAGAAACTAATGAATCAACATGAAAACATGAACCAGGATTGACAGGAGACTCAAGAAGGCTCAGGCCAATGTACACACTTGTAGATAAACAGAACTTTTGAAACCTTTACTCTAACCAGTAGTTACTAAGCCATGAAAATAAGGGCACGATTTGATTCTAACAAGGAGATCACACCAGACCAATGCTGGGGAATTCTATTCAGTTTCAACTCTACCAAACAATCAATCAACAAATAAATAAGAAATCATCATTAAAACTTTGTATATTAACTGTTCAAGAAGCAAATCTATTTTCAACAGCTCATAAGTAAAATAAACACAAACTGCTCCGACACAAAATTGACTATTCTTAACAAGGAGAAAGGAAGAAAGACATTTTGAAATTATTGGATACTCTGTATTTGACACTGAGGAAAAAAAAAACTGTAAAAGTCCATAAAAATGGACCAAGTGACTTCCCACAAAACTTTTCAAGATGAAAAGTTCCTGTAAGCGATTTCCATAAAATGATGTTGATAAACTGTAATACACCCTCTATAATCAAACAAAACAGAATCCTGGGTTAAAAGTACTACTACAGTAAAATGCAGTAGTCTCCACACTAGTGGAGAGGTCTTATATTTGCAACAGCTCTATTTTCTTATGGGGAAAGTAACTTCAAAAGAATTATGGCAACAAACACCAAGCAGCAAATCGTCACCGTGTTAGTGGAAAGTAGTCTCACGCGTTCATCTCTGCAATTTATTTTAAACCAGAAAGGTTTACAACTTGGATCCAAATTCCCTCATTGTCTTCTCTCAAAACAGCGCTCATAACTGTTGGCATAGTCTCGTTCCCCTAGAAGACTATCACGTTTATGTAATACCATGATTTAAAATTCATCCATCCAAAAAAACCCTAACCCTCGCATGGGAATTTTACACAACACAGGTCAGTTTTGACAATCAATAACGAAATAAGCATTTGGCCAGCTTGTGACATCTGTGACACACAGTCAATACGTAATTCTCATAATTAGCTTTCCCTGCTACTTAAGCAAAATCCCTGCTTCCTCACTCAGCCAAGTCACCTGGCTTTGCACTAGTCACTGCCACGACTGAGTCACTTAAATCAATGACCAAAGCAGGTACAGTGGTCTCGTGCTGTTACAGTCTGCTCCTAGGAGAGGCAGAAGCCCTTCTCCCTTATTCCTGCCACTGCCTGTCACCCAAGCAAGATGGCAAACAAATCCCAAAAACAAGGTCTGCAAATATTTGGGTAGCTCTCAGTTGTCCAACAGAAAACCAAATCTTCTATGTTCAGGGAAAAGGCATCTTGGTGGCAGGAGCAGCCTGCTGGCAGGCAGAGCTCACGGTGCCAAGCGAACCGTGGTACCTAGCTCATCATCCTGCCACACACAGCTTTCAAGTTCATTCAACCCACCTATTTCTTCTGCTCAGGTTCAAACCACACAGCTCCAAGCGCTCCCCCATCTATGTGAGTTTCCTTTCATGCAGTGAGCAGTCTGGAGGATTATAAAGGAACAACTACTCATCATCTGTCTTTCTTGGCAAGAATCTTCAGGTATCCTTAACCACCAAGACGAAGGAAAAGCTAGCAGTTACACTGCTCAGCTCTACTTTACAGCCAGCACGAATAACATGGTCTGTGATCAGCTGTGGTTCGTTGGAGGTAAGTGGTGTAGGAGGTATCTGACAAGAAATCTCCTGTGCCAGTTTGCTTTAGAAATATACATGTAGAATTTTTTTTTTTATCCTAAATGTATCAAGCCATTTACCAGTATCTGCATTCAAAAATATTCCTACAACTGCCACATAAGGACAGTGAATATCATCACTACTAGTGGTAAGTACTAACTGTGAATACACAGTACTTAAAATAAGGCTGTTCTGGGTAACTGAGTCACTCTCAATAAAAGCCCTTCAGACACAAATCTAAGTGCTTTATGTGCATTCCCAATACTTATTATGGGAACATGCTTAGAAATGTGAACAGGTATCTTACAAAAAAAAATCCCAGGAACTCACAACACAATAACAATTAAAATCAAACTTCTTTCCTGTTTTAATAGCAAGTTCATCAAAGGACACCTCCTATATTCAAACTGGATATAATTTTATGGATATGTGGGATAGAAAACAGTATTCACAGAAGTTATTTGAATACTTCTTAAATCAAAAGATATCTCCCTCATTACAAATATTCCAGTTATTTCTTGGGGAAGGAAGAGGAGGGAACAAGGCAGTGGGGAGGACATCTTCCTCCTTGGAACAATTCCCTCTGTGACCCATGCTGACACACAGCACCCTATTAAAACAGAATACACATTTCATAAGCAGCATCGCCAGAATGAACACCATCTGTCCTGGATGGATCAACACGGCCTCATCTCTCAAGATGCTAAATTGATATCGACCTTTTTAACTGTTCTTGTTAAGTAAGTTGAATAAAGTGACAGGGATCTAACAAGACAGGTTGCCCCGAGAAGCTGTGGCTGCCCCATCCCTGGAAGTGTTCCAGGCCAGGTTGGATGGGGCTTTGGGCAGCCTGGTGTAGTGGAGGGTGTCCCTGCCCATGGCAGGGGGGTTGGAACTGGATGATCTTTGAGGTCCCTTCCAACCCAAACAATTCTGTGACTCTATTCTATGATTTAATTGACACAAAGTGCGACAGGATCTCCTTAAGTATTTAGTCCACCTTACTACACCAAAGTACAATACTGTGCACAAACGCACTCTACTTTCCCCAGATTGTCCCTCTCATTAAAAATCCACATTCCATTTGTGATAATTCAAACCATACAAGGAACCAGAACTAACCCTTACTTAAAATCCATTCCACTTCAGCAGGCAAATTTCAGAGTCCTGTGTAAAGTCACTAAAAAGATAAATCGCCTTAAGTATGTCTTTAAAAAGTCTTAACGTAAACACAAAAAGTTTGGATGCAAGACTTGCTCGCAGTGGGTGTTTCATCACTATGTGTAAAGTCCATCCAAAACCAGACAATGGAGGACTCTGAATCTCTGCAGATGTTTAGTGGAATAAACTGTTGAGTTCCAAAATTCAGACTATGTGAGAAAAGTCGGATTTTGATTTCTTTAGTAACAAATTGATTTCAGCATGTTCTCACACAAATTGCATATATTTAATATAGCAACACAGAAAACTAACAGAATGAAGCACGTCTTCTGTAAGCATGCACGTAATTCAGAAGTAGATTACACGCTGAAGTCCTAATCTGTACCATAAGAATTTACAGACCTTTCCAGCCTGTAAAAAGATAATTCTAAACACTCCACACCAAAACAAAACCAGACAGCCTACATGAACACGTTCTAATGACAGCTGCAATCCACTCTTCTCCACAGGTGGTGAGGTTCGTTCTTCTGCCAAATGAAGCTTCAGTTACTGACAATCAGATAGTCTAGACAAGGGTGCAAACCTGCTTTCTCTTCCTTGATTAACAGATTAGCTACAACAGATTTTTTTTTTTGTGGTGTTACAGACATTTTGGGCCAAGATAGTCTTGTATTTTGAAGTTCAAGGCATCTAAGAACAAAAAAATCCTTCTCCTTTGAAGGACCAACACCAGAAACTCTGTCCTTGAACCCCTGAGCCATATCAACTGCAAGCACCTAGTGCCTGCTGCCTAACAGATACCAGGGCAGGATTCAGACTGAATCAAGAAGCAAAGCTAACACGGTCCCACGTTTTCCCAGAATGGACCAGCAGCACGTTGCTGATGCAGGACCAGTCAATGCCTCCTGAAAGACACTGGAATCCTTACTCTAGAAGACAGGCTCATCATCAGCCCGTATGCCCTGCACTGTCTCTTTAATTAAAAGACTACTTCCCTGAATTCCTTACATTGTCAACGGAAAAGATGCCCTCTTCAAAGCTCTCCAGCTTAACAAATGTTCTGACATACATTCACGAGGAGCCTCTCCCACGGTTCCAGAAGCTCACAGAAGCTGGACACCTGAAGTAATGCATTTGAGACTGTATCAACGCTCCTTGGTACTTTTAGTAGCTGGCACTTGGGCAAAAAAAAAACATCCCAGCAACAACTGCATGGTTACCAAACACAGCCTGTGGCCATAAGCTGAACCGAAATCCTGTGTATTTTAAACGTGATATATAACAACAGGAACACTGAGATCAAACTCGTAATTGCCTCTGATGTAACATTTCAACATGCTTCCTCAAAGAAGTCAAAGCTAGAGCAGCAATCCTCTCTAGCAAGAAGTAGTCTGGTTTAAAGCCTGAACTACTGTAACGTTCCTGGTAGTTCCAAAATGGAAGTTTACTCCAGCGTTTTCGCTGTGTGCAGGCATCAGTAGCCAGGTTCTGCTGTGACATTATTCACAGGGGTTTGAGCATTCCAGCAGGACTTATTCCCTATTTTAAGACGAGAAGGCAGCCGGCAAGAAGTTAAGTTCAGAATGTTGATGACTTTAGTCGTTCAGGGTGACAGGAACATTGGTGAGAGGGCAGTGCACTATGGCTTGAGGCTTCCTAGCTTCCATTTCCTTTACATAAAGCAGCATCAGCAACCAAGTGCCACCACTTACCTTTTTTGAAGAGTTTCAGAGTCTTGCACAACAAAAAGCACTTCACATTCTTTCATGTTTTAAGTACTCAAGTGTTTCTGTAAGTCACTATTTCAAATTCCTGTGTCTTTATACTCGTATGATAGTTCCTTAAAAATAGCCACTAGAAGCAGTTGCGTGATAATAGCAATAAGCACTAAAACCAGTATGAGTTGCTAAAAATGTTTGTGATATAAAAATCAATTTTACTTACAGATGAGCCACCTTTTCTCCTTTCAGAGGAGGCAGAACGTTCCCAGAACCAATCAAGCAGTTATGCACTATAGCAAGACACTGCTGCACATCATCTCTTAAAGAAAGAAGAAAACCCAATTACTTCTCTGTTAAATGCTCGAAAATACACAAATGAAAAACCCTATTTTTTGGGGAAGTTTTGTAAAAGCCCATTTCTTTAGCCATATCACTTCTAAACACAAGAGGGAGCAGTACAGAAGTCAACCATTTTTTGATACAAGCCAATTCTATTACAGAACTCCCAACATTCAACTTTGTTTTCCAAAAAACTTGTTTTGGAGATTTTTACGTTCTGAAACAGTGAAGGAAACTTCAGTATAATGAGATAAACAAATCTCAAACCAGACAAGGAGCCTCTCCCATGGTTCCAGAAGCTCACAGAAGCTAGACACCTGAAGTAATGCATTTGAGACTGTATCAACGCTCCTTGGCACTTTGTTTCGAAGAAAAAATTGTTTTGAAGAATTTTATCTAAACCTCAGATAAAACCCATGAACTAACTCTCCAATCCAAGGTCAAGAAAAGTCCTTCCCAGCATAAGTAGGATGAAGGAATACCTTCTTTATGAGTGAATATTTTACAGTCTGAAAGGAAATTATAATGCAACAATGTGAACAACTTTTTTTCTTTGTTACTTTAGAGAATTAAGGAATTCTTTTCAAAGCTGTCTTCATCTGTAGCACTTAACATAAAGTTACAAATTCTGCCGTTTGTTCTCATCTTTGTGGTCAGCAGCTTGGATTTGGAAAATAACTCCTTTCAGCCCTCTCGAGAGGTTCTCTAACCGAAGAGCTCTTAGTACTTACACATTACCTGTCAACTCTCTAAATACACGTGTTCGCCAACGGCTGTTAGAATTTTTCATTTTAACTTTTGTAATAGAAAAATCTTACTCAAGCTCCTAAATACCTAAAAAAAAGTTCTATTTCCAATTGTTACTTAGTGGAATACTGGGGAGGGGGGGGAGGAAGAAATATGACAAGAACTCAAGCTCCAGAAATATGGCAACTCAAAGCCATACCAGGCTCACCTAGTTTCCTACTTATTCACACCTGTTACTCCCTCAGAAACTCATGGCATTGTCTACCTTGGCAGCTGCCCTATCTTGCCTTCCAATTTAATTTGCAATTCATGCCCTTGGCTCTATTCTCCCAAATCGCCATCATTTATTTCTATCAGGTAGCACAGTGAAGCCTCGACCAGATCAAAGTCCAATTCTCTCATAAATTAACAGCTTTAGATAGGTGTCAAACAGAAAAGAAAAAACAAAAGAAGTAAACATATAAATAAGAAATATAACACAAAGAAATAACTGACAGACTTAAATAGGAAGCATGTCCTTTCTTCTTTTAGTGTAAGTATACTTTCTTGCAGTATGGTGGCATTCATTTGTCAAGCATATTAGTGTATTTTTCAGATTAAAAAAGAAAAATATTTAGGAGTGTGATACCCCACGCCCCGTTTCATGCAGGGCAGTACTTCTCAGCACGAGGTGTAACGTCACATGCTACCAACATCAACTGAGGTATATATAGCTCCAAGGGCTGAAGGCTTAACATGAGAAACAAAGAATGTTCAAGGTTCAATGCTTGTAAACAGCTTCAGCTATTTGACACTTGTAAATGCTTTAGCACATGCTAAACTCATGATTATCTTGTGCTTAGGAACTATCCTTAGGACAGTTCACACTAACAGAGTGTAACAAGATTGGGCAACAGCACTCTTGCCTCCACTCCCATGTGTTATGCCACTGACTCTGCATTACCTCCTCGGTTTCAACACTGTCACTTTTTGCAGGGACACGCTATGTACTGAATCCATTCACTGGCAGGAAGTGGAGAGAGGCAGATTTCCAAGCCAAATCAGTTCTGTGTTCCACTCCACAGCTTAGGATCACAAATGGTTGTGCCAAAACAACAAGATAAGAGTCTATCGGGAAAGCTTTTTTACTGCTGACTACAGTTAAATGGAAACAAAATTTAGAGTATGTATTTTAAAAAAATCTGGAAAAGTCTTTATATCAACATAAAGTGTCTTAAGTTTTTTTTATTTTTTTTAAAGAGTATTTCCGTTCAAAATAATGTTTTGTCTCTTTTATGAAATGCACTTCCAAGCGACATGTACTCTTAAAAGAGTTAAAATCCTGGAAATCTTGGAATAATGTTGAAGACAGTGTAACATTATAGTATTTTACTCCTTAATTTTTGTAGTGCCAGTACGATTGACAATAACCACTTAAAACAGACACGAGTGGATAAGGGCACCTTCTCCATGTTACACATCGCCACTAACCTGGACATTTCCAGTTTTCCAAGTGCATAGTGCTCTAGTCTGGTGAGCTCAGGCTGAAGAAAAGTATCCAGCAAATAAAAAGCGAAGTTTATTTCCTCAGATGAAGGAACATGCCACTGGATGTCCAAGTTCCACAGGTCACCTGGTTTACCCCAGTCCTACAGTAAAGACACACATCCCTTATTAATTAAACTATGAAGCAAATTATCTTTTAAAAAATTAACATTTAATGTTACTAAAAAAACCTAAACACATGAACTAGCTACGGCTGTAAAGCTGTTAACCTGACAATTCCAGGAAAAAAACCTGAAGAACACAATAAAGCCAAACAGAAATCCCAAACCTGCTATAATGGCTACACACACCTGGAAAATAGCATGTACCTGAAAAGGACTAAAGGAAAAGGACTGTACTGGTCTAAGTGAAATATAACTTTGTTATTCCTTTGGCTGGATACAAATTCAGGAATTTTCTTAAGTGCAACTCAGACTTTTGATACTCCTACAGAGAACATAAAGAAGCTAGCCCATTTAATAATACTTCTTCTGAGTTTTGAACCACAATCAGGAAGCTTAGTACTTACATTTTAAAAATAAAAAAAGAAAGCTAAATTTTAAGATGGATTTTTTATATGATGTCAGGTCATCCCATAACAACAACAACTTTCTGTATTTTGGCTTACAAAGAGCTCAAACTTGCTACAGAATTAACACCACTGGAGTATTTGGAAAAGTCAGTACTTAATACTAATTAATATTCAGACATTAAGTCCATGCTTAAGACTGCATTAATTAATAGACAGGTCTTTGCAGTCTTTACATTCCATTTCCTGGCTTTGTCCAATTTTACATGGTAATTCAATTTACAACACTTCACCTTTTGTTCTTGACTGATCTGACTGGACAGAAAGTGCAAAGAGCTACAGCAGTACACCTACTTGGTGCAGCCTGCTACTGCTTCTCTTCCTCAGAAGAGCAGGCTAGTCCTCCATGAACACTACTTGAGGAAGTGACAGAACTCAAGTTTTACACCAGGGCAGGGTAGGAAGCACGTAAGTGACAAACTCAAGCTCTTAATGGCAATTACAGGTTGATACAATATACACTTTCTAAATCAGCCACTCATGTATGGAAGTGAATTTTTTTTCAATTTCAGAGGAGGGATTAAAAAAAAAGTCATCTATTGTTGTGTTGAGGTATTTAGTTAAGATTTTTTTTTCGTTTGGTAAATGAGTGTCTGGTCCAACGTGATGCTCCCATCGATTTAGAAAATTGTACTGGCCTTCAGTAACAGGCATTAGATTGTAAAGTTACGTAAAAACGCTTTTCAGCAAAATGCAGCTTTATATTCAAATAGGTCAGCTGAAAACTGCCGCACTGGTCACCTGCAAGACTGGTAAATTGACCTCAAAGTCTTCCCAGCAGGCTAGCATATTACTTTTGACAGTTTCAGTAATTTTTAATATTACCACTTCAACTTTCATTTTAACTCAAGCTCAGCGCAGAATCGTTGTGCATTTGTTATTCTGCCTACCTGTAAAATACCATTATCTTCTTCCCTGCAATTGTTTTGCACTGATGTACTCATTTTTCCAGGCACTCACCATTACTTGTTACATCTGATAACCACATTTATAGGAAGAGGAACGAGGAAAGACTGCAGCTCTCACCCACACAAGCAGATGAAAGACTAAGTTTGTCCCACTTCCTACGGCTGGACATTTAAGTTGAAGTGAACAGCAAAATTCTCCTGCTAAACACTGAACTCCACTGTTCATTCCCCTGTACTTTGTGATAGCTGGGTCTCGATTAAAGGTATCACACATTACAAGATTAAAAAACAGGAGCAGGCACTCTTGCTTTGTGTTATCTTATTGTAGTTGTCATGCAATCACTGTAAAACACCCATCATAAACCACTAACATGTCATGCTATAAAACTATTTAAAACAACAGTCAGTATTCATCTTTTGCTATCAAATAATTTTACATAACTTGTCATTTGCTATATGTTTCAAAGCCCAAAGCATCTTTCAATTACACTTTCCATTGCTGCTACCTATGTTCAGAAATTTCCAAATAAAACAAATAATATAGTGAATGATTGGTTTTTAAAAAAGAAAGTCAAATCCTCTAATCCTAAATAAATGAAAATCCTTGCCTTGATAGGAAAGTATTCAGAAAGAGGCTTGTCAAAGCCACCTGGCACACTGCAGTACTCTGTGGGGTAGATAAGTGTAGCAGAACGAAGAAGATGGTGCAGTAGGTTACAAGACAGAATGTAACCCTGCTTACAGGTTAGATGTAGGGTTCGCTGCAGTATCTTCCCAAGCTGCTCCCTGTACGGTAGCAACTTCTTGCCATCCACTCGAGTGATCTAATAGGAGAGACAAACATTTCAAAGGTCAACACAACTGATTTTGTTCTAGAGGACCAGAGAGAGGATTACGCTGCTCAGCCGACCCCGTACCAGGCTTTGCTCTCTACCTCGCACTGAGTTCCAGTTAAAGACTGAACTCGCACAGATCTACCACTTCCACTGCTGTTGGAAAAGTTCAAGTAACACGTAAGAACTGTGATCTACCTTGCTTCTCGATGGCATTCAAAATTTTCTTGCAATACTCATATATATTTTGAGACTCATTTTCAAAGATTTATCTTTACCAAAAGCATCTTATGTTGTTCCCTGCGTGTATCCCTCTTCTTTCTCTGCCCCTCACTAATTGTATTAAATGCTTTCATTTTTTTCCCCCCACACCCCATATGTTTATCTTCTTCAAACAGCAGCCACTTATGTCCCATTGAAAATTGGATAAGAAAAACAAGTTATGCAACGTCATCCATACAAGGTTGACTTTGTTTTAACAGCAGCAGTTTTATTTTCTTTTTTCAGGGGAATTAAACAGGATTCAACAACATACATGCATGGGGAGAACATTCTTTGTGATACCTCTGACAAAAGCTGAAGGTTCCAAAGTAGCTCCTTATCTAGTTCTTCATCATGCAACACATCATCATCTAGAGGAACAAGTGATAAGCACTGCTGTAACTACGCTGCAGTTAAGTTTTCCCAACAATCTAAATAAAAAACATTTGACATCTTGAATGCTTTTTGAGGAATGTCCAGAGACATTTTAAAACTGCCACATTTTTAAAGAAGCATGCTCTTGTAGCTTGATAGAGGTTTGACTTGAAATGACACACAAATAGTTGCTGGTTTGTTTTTTTAGATGAAATAATGGACAGAATTAGTTTTCCATCATTGAAACGAAGTTAGGGAAAACACAGAGAAGTTTTAAATATTATTTTTGTTTAACAAAAGTCAACTCAAACCGGGGCAAAAAACATTAGAAATCTTATAAACTTACTGACTGTGAGGTGAGTTATAACATTGCAGCAATGTGGTACAAACAGCTTCAAGGATTCCTCAGGGCGGCACTGGAAAGAGCATCGTAAATAGCCCGTTTGAAAAGGGACTCGGCGCACACATTGATAAAAATCTTCTAACAGCATTATTGAAAAAGAGGGAAGAACAGACTGTATCTCAACTCCAATTCAATCTGGAGTCAGTCTGAAGCCATGATTTTTAAGCGTTCAATAACACCTATATTAAATTTAATGTAAGCGCAAGAAAAATAATCGTGACTTAATCTCTTGCAATATCATGCAATATATGCAACCATCCAGTTTTAAAAAGGACATAATACTAGGAACCATCTGTATTTACAAGAAAAATTAAAGGTCTCACAGAAGAAAAAGTAGTAGTATTGGCTTTGTTTTTTTCTTTTTAAATAAAGATTGAATGAAATCAGAGCATTTTCTCTCACTTTTACTGCAGCTCGGCACATATCAGCAACCATTCGGCCAGCAACTCTCGTCTCAAATATATTTGAAATAGCAAAGTTAAAGACCTTCTCCAAAGCAACCTAAAAATGAATACAAAAAGATGGAGGTTACTTTTAAAAAAAAAAAAAAACAAACTAGGTGGCATCAAATGTTTGATGTTACACAGAAGGCAGCATCTGTACATAGTATTGTATTCTTTTAAAACAGAAGACTGGAAACATGATTCACATTTAAAAAATCAGAATAGAGACACAGAGAAAGTAGTTCTATAGAATCCCTAAAGCTGAGTAAAATGTAACCACTCTCTTAGTTAAAGTTGACAATATTGTAGAATAAGAATTAAAAATTTATGTGAATAGTAAGTGCTCAGGAGAAAAATCCTAAATGTTCCCAGGTCACGTAACTTGCACGCTATGCAACACCTATGTCTAACTGTACAACTACTGCCTTGAGCTGAAGAATAAAAGCTGGTTTGTCAAAATATTTTCAGTTTGCAGATTTTCACTTTTTCTTCTTCGTAGTTATTGCAACACTCACTTACTGTAACACACTGTAACTGGAAAATACATGAGAGTGTCCACTATCATTAAAATAATTCAGTTATGGGAAGATCTATATTCCCCCATCCCAAGATTTTAAAAACAAAACACACCGAGTGCTTTAACTGGTGACATAAGGTGACATTGCCTTCAGCTAGAGATGGGAAATACTTTTAAAATATTCCCCTGGGGAAAAAAGGAGGTCAGATAAACCCTGTTGATCAATGTAAGCGTGAGATGCTTCTGAGAAACTGCACAGAGAAACAGTTTTCCCTGAAGAAGTCACAGTCCTCTGAAAGGAAAACTATGCTATTTCACATGTGAAATTGGTGTAAAGCCAGAACAACCCTTAGTTAACAAGTAAATAAGGAATTACCTATCAACAGTTTAAGTGGCCAGCATATTTTAAAGCAGCTTAGTACCATCCAATACCCTGCAAGGCAAGCTGAACTATATACAGTGTAGACTCCATGCAACTACTTTAATAATGAACAATCAGGAAAAATATAAATTAAATACTTAGTGACAACAACGAATTAACTTAAGGCTTATATTAACCAAAAGATTCCAGACAAAAATCATGGCAAAAGTGTCCAGTGCAATGGTTCAAAACATGCCAAACCTACCATCTCCAAATATATACGTGATGTAACGTAAACAGATTAAAATGTTTTAACCCAACCTGCAAGGAAAGAACCTGTCCATGTAACAACACGGATTCTCCACCCCCCGCCCTCAGTACTATTTGAATTCAGATAATTTTTCTGATCCCATGAGCCACGTGGCTCCTTGAACAGCTTCTTCTGCCCAGCTGAAGAAGTGGCAGGGAGTGGGAGGCAAAAGGAAAGCAGGGGACTGGGTAGGTGAGCAGTACCATTACAAGACCCAAAAAATGACAGCCTAGAATGATACAGTGATAAACTGGGTAGGTGAGCAGTACCATTACAAGACCTAAAAAACGACAGCCTAGAATGACCAAGTGATACAATAAGCTGTTAGAATGATTTCTCCTCATCAGTTGTTCACAATAGAAAATTAAGCCTCAAAGTGAGATGGAAAGCCCATGTTATACGTACCTTAAAGATATCCTTTGAGCACTGAGTAAGGATTGTACTGAAAGTAGAAGAGAGACCTAATTCCACCAGACTCTCCAGGTGAGTCATTTTCTCAGTTTCAGTCTCCTCTCTGGTTTGTTCTAGCGTGCTGCTCTCTATAAGTCCAAAACATCTACACAAACACAGTAAGTGCAATTTCAGTAAGTGGAACTTGAAAGTTTTACGAAGTTCTTCATGCCAAGCTTTCACCTCTCCTTAGCTTACTTACCTGTCCATGAACTGTAGTACAAAATCCTCAAATTCAGCAGTTGCAGAGCACAATTCTCTTTCCACCTACAGTTTTGTGATGCAAAAGAAGCACAAAAGGTTGGCTTTTCTTAAGGAAACATAATATAAGTATTTCCAGATGTATTAAAATTTCCTAATATAAAAATGTCGTAATAAATATATATTTTATGCATTAACCACTTCAAAAGCATTTCCCATTTTTAAATTATACAGACTACAGGGCATTGCCCGTCGACGTCTGAACAGTCTCGAGTACACCACGCGAAACCATTATCACATTTTCTTTACACTGTCCTATCAAATTTCCTGGCCTTGACGCCCAGCCAAAGAACCTCTCCGGGTGAAATCAGGTCTGCTGCATGGAGACAACCTTTGGCCTTACTACTGATCCTCCTTTCCAGCAGGAGGGCAGCGAGTGCCAACCGTGGTGGCAGACTTGGCACTGCTGACATATTTAGACCGAACGTTCAGCGTACACACTCCTCTGTTCATTTTTGAGTGCTGGAGCTCTGGGGCAACGACATCAACCTTCACCCAGCAGCTGAGCAGTCAGAATCTGTGCCATCTGTAGTTACTAGCTGTTCTCTGAGCTACAAGAAGAGTCTTCTAGCAGTGGATGAGATGTTTTACACGGCAGCTGCTGCTGCCTCACTTGTAATACGCCAGATACAGCTTCACTATCTGTGCCTGAACTGCTGCATCAAAATAGGCTGCCTCACTTGTAATATGCCAGATACAGCTTCACTATCTGTGCTTGAACTGCTGCATCAAAAGCACAATCAAAAGCCTAGTGATAAGCAGAGAAACAGAACAACTATTTCCCATTCTCTCCTGTATTTTTTGCTGTGTGGAAAAGGACAAAGTATTAGAACAACGCTGGAGACACGGAGTGCAAGGAGCTCTAAAATGAGAGATGAAAACAAACAGCACTCCAAAGCAGCAAACAGGTGGGGTGGCCATGTCCAGTAACACAGGGGCCACAAAGGACAAAACACAGAAGAGGGAGATAAGGCTCACTAAGGATGTC